GACAAGAGAAGTGAAAAATATGCACCAATGAGTTATATTTGATTCACTAGTTTCACAGTTACAGCAAAAACTATGTTACAAATAATGTATTTAAAAAATTAATTTCATACATTCTAATCATCTAAAATCTTTCCTATTCGTGCACTTTGCCCTATAACGACAATGGCTAGTGCATGATTTTTTGTCAGTTCGACATTTACACGCTCTTGTTTTGTATGCTGAGTTTCTTGTACAAACACAACAAATATAATCATCTTCAACATAATTTTTTTGGGTCCGCTGAGTCTGAAGTATCCACATCAGCTTCCACCACGCAACTACTCTTCCCTTCAAGCTGCATGACTTGGCTGTTAAATTTTAGAAAAATAAATTGTCAATTTAATTCAAAATATATAGAAAAACACATGTAAAATCAAACCACTGAATACTTAACAACATATCAATAAAATTTTTAATTTCAGATTGCACCTCTAATAGTAACAAGAGAGGCATATTAATCAAGTGTATAATTTTAAATTAAAAAATACATTAAGCATCCATACAAATTAATTAATAAATGAATGAAAATTTCTTTACTTTATCATCTGACCCTTATATTTTGTTTGAACCTCGTACTTTTTAATCTCGTGATGAAAGCTAATTTTTTAAAAATTATTTAATACCTCTTCAATATATTCAATTTCGGTTCTTCCTTAACAGCATAAATTCTATTATTCTTCATCATTTATAGCAGGTTGAAAAAAAATTAGCACATTCAACATAAATAATTAAAATCAGTAATTAATAAAGAAATTGAACTATAAAATAATATATCAAGTTTAAAATCATTTTCATCTGCTAGCCAACAACAGTCCTAAAGAGCTACCGGTCGTCAGATCAATCTCCCTCTTCTGATCTTCATCTATTATTTATCAAATGTAAATAAATGAGTCAGACAATGGATACAAACTCAAAAACTCTTATGCATCATTATAATTAATGATCATGAAAAATATTCAAAAATGTTACATAAACGACGAACAAATTAACAAGCCAAACTAAATAAATAATATTTTTTCATATCAAATAAAATAAAAAAACCTTTCAGATATTCTAACCAAATCATGATTTTTTCACCATGACGATTGGTCCATTCGGAAGAGTTGCTGCATTTTTTAAAACATTTATTGTAAGGTTTCCTCATTTTATCTGATATAAAAATTAGCATTTATTTGTTTGGCTTGTCAATTTATTCGTCTATGTAACATTTTTAAATATTTTTTCAGGTCATTAATTATGAGGATGCATACGAGTTTCTAAGTTTATATCAATTGTCTGGCTCCTTTACTTACATTTGATAAACAGAAGATGAATATCGAATGAGAAAAATTGATCTAACGGTCGGTAGCTCTTTAGGACTGTTGTCAGCTAGCAGATAAAAAAAATTTTAAACTTGATATCTTATTTTATGGATTACTGATTTTAACTCTTTAGGTTTAATGTGTTATTTTTTTCAGACTGTTATAAATAATAAAGAACAACAAAATTTATGCTGTGAAGGAAGAACCGAAACTAAATATATTGAAGAGATATTAACTAATTTTAAAAAATTTAGCTCTTATCACGAATTCAAAAAGCACGAGGTTCAAGCAGAATACAAATGCCATATGATAAAGTTAAAAAAAAATTCATTTATTAATTAATCTGTATGAATACTTAATATATTATTTAATTTAAAATTAGACACTTGATTGATATGTCACTCTTGTTATTATGTTAGTGGTGCAACCTGAAATTAAAAATTTTATTGATATATTATTCAATATTCAGTGGTTTGATTTTAAATGTGTTCTTTCTATAAATTTTGAACTAAACTGTCAATTTATTTTTTCAAACTTAACAGCCAAGTCATGTAGTTTGAAGATGAGAGTAGTTGCGCGGTAGAAGCTGATGTGTATACTTCAAACTCAGATAACCTAAAGAAAAATTATGTTGAAGATGATCATATTTGCTGCGTTTATACAAGAAACTCAGCATGCAAAATAAAAATGTGTAGATATCAAACTAACAAAAAATCATGCATTAGACATTATTGTTGTAGGGCAAAGTGCACTAATATAAAAGATTTTAAATGATTAGAATGTATGAAGCTAGTTTTTCAAATACATTACTTATGGCATAATTTTTGCTGCAACTGTGAAACTAGTGAATCAAACATAACTCATTGGTGCATATTTTCCATCAAATTATATTTTTCACTTCTCTTGTCTATATAATATATGTTACGCTCAACAAATCGTACAATCCTGAACTGGCTAGCCTGATTTGTGATAAAATTCCAAACCATGCTTGTATGTACCGATCATAACCAAGGAATTTGGTTGAAGTGGTGGCATCACCTTGGAGGAGCATTCATCATGAGGGAAAATAACCACACAATAAACTGATCAACACTAATCCATTCATGGGCAGTCCTTCAACGGGATCATAACAAGAAGACCAGCCCTGATAAGTTAGGCAGGAGAGTCATCATCAATCATGGGCTTGTGTTCTTCATTTTTATTCAGTACTCTCCCATTATGTTCCTCCCTATAGACTCACTATAATGTTCAAAGTTTTTGCCTTCAAAAACTCATTTTATACACTCTATCTCGAAGACTCTCCCAAGAGACTTATGAAGAATTGCAAAGGAGACTCACTAATATAACTTTACAATTTTGGATTAGTTTGCCGGTATGCCTCACTTGGTAATATTTTTATTACTATGTTGTGTCGTATAAAGTCATTCTACTCTAACAAAGAATAAAATGACTCTGAAAGTGAATCGCTCTTGCTATTGGACCCATAATAAAATGTACATACAATGTCTGGCTTTTTGTTGTATGTTTCTAGTATGAATGGAAAATACGTCATTTTTTAAAAAGTAGAGTAACTTAAAAATAATCAAAATGAAGTCTTAATAATTCTTCTCATTTAACTTTTTTATTAATTTTTTCCTTTACACTCATTTAAATTTCTTAATAATTTTGCCTTCTTTTAGTACCTTCATTTATCAAGAAAAAATATTTTATTAACTCTAAATGCACCACACTAGATTTGAATCCCTATAAATATATTTTATTGCCTTAATTTTTTGTTTTTTTTTTTTTGAAATTGAGGGCTTAGCCCGATATTTTATTGCCTTAATTATTTCCACATATCTTTTTGCATTAACAGGTCAATTATAAAAATCATTAAAACTTGTAACTTGGGTTTTTTTTGGACATTTAAATCAATTAAGGCAGACTTAAACACACATCGCATACAAAATACTCGAACCCAAAACCTCTTAGTTGGTATTCTAAGCTCCCAACCAAAAGATCAAGATGAGTTGTGTATAACTTCGGTTATTCATTATCATTTATGCAACCATTCAAACATTTCTATATTTATTGCATGCATTAATAGCAATTAGAACCGTTCTGAGAACTATTGTAAGGGATCACCCAATGAGAAAATTTTTAAACAAATAATTCGGTCACAAAAAATCATATACCTTTCAATATGCTCAGAGCCCACCTACGAATTCCTACATAATAAAATGTTGGACGACCTAAAGCATAGTCACAACTGCGTGATGAACGAACAAGTTCCAATCCTCTGATAAATGGCATGCAGATAACTAACACATCTACATAAAGCTTACACCATGTTTAATTCATCTGGCACAAAAGGAATTGTTTGAGGTTCTCTTGGTTTACTTGACTTGCTTTGGTTGATGGGCATAAAACTGTTAATCAACTTATTTATAGAAATATCCATATAAATCCTATTTGTTCTCTTTGCAACAGTTGTGATGAATCTATCTCTCATATGTTTTATGAATGTGATTTCTCTTTTAACATTTTAAATATTGTATACCCGGGTGCTAGTATTTTTTTGCCTAGACCTAATATTATTCAAGTTTTTAACTACATCCATGGGGATCATAGGCTTTCTATGAATTCTAAATATCATTTTTATTTAATCATTTGTGCTTTCATCTACTACATTTGATGTGAGTGTAACAACAAAAGGTATGGCAATTCCCATTCCTCTGTTATAACTACTTTTAATCTGATTAGGAGGGAAATAAAAGCTAAAATCTCTTGCTGTAAAAATCTAGATAGCCTTCCTAGACACATATGTTAAGTTTGTTCTGATTTTGGTTTGTTATTTCTAGATATGTTGCAATGCTTTATGATCTCTTTGGATTCGTTGGTTGCTATTGCTTGAGCTTTGGTTGCTTTATGTTGGGCGCATTTCTTCTTGCATGCTAGGAAATTTTTTCTATTTGGATAATATGGTGGTGTCCTTCCTCCCCAATATGGACAATCTCTTTGGATTCATTGAGTGTTGTTGCTGGAGCTTGGGTTGCTTTGTGTTAGGTTCGTTCCTTTTTGCCTACTAGGGTAAATTTTCTATCTTAATAATGATGTGACAGCTTTCCTCCCCCATTCTGGATGGTCATCGCTATGTTTGACAACCTTTGAGGCAATTTGGGTCCTTTTTGGATCTATTATGTTGCTGGATGATTATTAATCAACAGGTCACTTATGCTCTTCATTTAATGTTCATTGTCACGGCTGTCTTGGTTGGTATATGCAATGTTTGTATTGGGACCTCATATTTTATTTTCTTGTATCAACTCAGTAAAAATTTATTAAGTGTTTGTGTAGTATTTACTGAGTACACTCAGTAAACCGGATGATTGTCCCGATCCGGACTCCGCACATAATAACTTCTCCAAATGGACGGATTTTTTTGCAAAAAGGCTTGCATTTCGTGAGTCCTTTAGCTTTTGCCAATTTTTTTTGTTTTTTTTAGTTTTGCTCGTTTGGTGTTTTTTGAGGTTGTTGTGTACTTCTTTTATGTGTTTTAGCTTTCTTTTTTGTGGTTGCAACCTCCTTTGGAGGTTTCTGTAATGCTTTTTTTCATTTAATGGAAGTGGGAAATCCCCTATAATTTAAAAATAATAATAAACAAAATGTTTAGCGGCTTACCTGATCCCGCAGCAGTAATAGCCTGCCGATACTTTTTATCCTGCACATCTCCAGCTGCAAAAACTCCTTTCACGCTAGTCCGAGTGGTTCCAGGCTTTGTGACCACATATCCATCTGAATCTAGCTCCAACTGCCCCCCAAGGAACTTGGTTGCTGGCTCATGTCCTATCGCAAAGAACAGACCCGAAACGGCCAAATTTGTTATCTCCCCTGTAACCAAATTCTTCAATTTCACCCCCCCAAGCGGGCCTCCTTCATTCTCACCATAAGCCTCCACAACCTCTGAATTCCACACCACCTCAATTTTTTCATTACTCAAAGCCCTCGCCTGCATGATCTTGGACGCCCTAAACGCATCCCTTCGATGCACAATGAAAACCCTAGACCCATACTTTGTCAAGAAATTGGCCTCCTCCATGGCGGAGTCCCCGCCACCAACCACCACAATGGGGCGGTTACGAAAAATAGGAGCCGCGCCGTCACAAACAGCACATGCAGAGATACCGCGATTCCAGAAAAGATCGGCTCCCGGGAAATGAAGGCGTCGAGCTACGGCACCGGTGGCTACGACGACAGCGTCAGCCTCGACGGCGGTGGAGGAAGAGAGAACCCGGAAAGGACGAGAGGAGAAATCTACAGATTCCACCGTTTCGGAGAAGATCTCCGTGCCGAAGCGGAGCGATTGAGCGCGGCATCGATCCATGAGCTCATAGCCGAGAATTCCTTCGGGGAAGCCGGGGAAGTTCTCCACGTCGGTTGTGGTTGTTAGTTGACCTCCGGCGGCGATGTCGTTGGCCATCCAGCCTTCGAAAAGGATGGGTTTGAGCTCAGCGCGGGCAGCGTAGATGGCCGCGGTGTGGGCCGCAGGGCCACTACCGATTATGCAGAGACGGGTGCGGAGGGTTTTTAGAGGCTTACTCATGGCGGGGGAGGAGGCAGCTGGAGGAGGGGGAGCGGCGGCGGCGGCTGAGAAGGAGCGGGATTTTTTGAGAAGGGAGATGAGTTTTGTATACAAGCACATGGGCTTGGGAGGCTAAAAAAACATTAGGGATTTTGGGCGGGACTTCTGTCCTCCCTGCCTGAGTCCACGACCCTTTCCCTTACCGTGAGAATGGATGGGGAGAGAGGGACAATCAGATTATTAGTAGGAGAAATGCTACTTTTATTCACTAAAGTTAATGTTGTTAAAACCGTTTAATAAGAAAGAAATTAAATTTTTATACAATTATAAGTTTTTAATGTAATGATTACAATTTTTATTTTAAAATTAAGATTTCATTGGAAACTATTTTTTCATGAAATTTTTGTTTTACAAAACTATTTTTTATTTCAAAAATATATATTCCCCACAATTATCTTATTATTATCTTTACAAAAGATTGCAACCGTCCGAAATGAATCATAAGTGTGTCCATATGAGATCATTCATGTGAAGAATACGTCATAATAAGTTATATTAATAGAACAAAATTATGAGTCCATTAGGTAAAAATAAATACCATCTTGATGATTAAAAATTTGAATTATTATTAAAAAAAAATGCAAAATTTGATATTTTGTTTAAATTTTAGTCATCTAAATGAATTTAACTGATATTTTTATCATTCTCAGATCATTTCTTTAACTAATTTGAATTTGGCCAACATTAATAATAATACTGCTTATTTTTTAAATTACTTTTTAGTTTTAATATTTTAAGGTGTAATATTAATCTACAAATTTGTTATATATTATAATTAATAAATTAGAATTTAAATGAGAAAGAAAAAAAATGAATTATAATTTTAAGAATATATAAAGAGTTAAGAAAAGAATACTACAAATCTTCAGAAGATGATAACCAATTGTAGGAAGCAGGTTAAGAATATTTAAAGAAGGTGTTTGGTTTAGGGTTTAGTGTTATGCAATGTTTGGAGTGGTTGGTTTATTATAGCATGAGTGTTGGCAAAGAAAAGTATATGGCCAAGATTTTAAGAATATTATACATATTTATTACTATATTTTAGTCAGTGTGACATAGAAAGTGAGGTTGATCAAGTAATTATAAGAATTTGAGTCAAATCCAAGTAGTCATTGATCCTGAAATGATTCAAGTTGTCACCCAATGAAAATTTATGTTGCATACCCGATTGCTACATAGCGAGCTATAAAGACTACTTATATATATTTTTTATTATTTTCTTATGTATCCCATCATGTATTATCAATCTTAAACATTGCATATCAATTGAGAGTTATTGATTGAGCATAGGCATGACATAATCTTCTACTTTTGGCTAAGACTTCGTACCTTTGGAATTTCTCTATACTTTCTCAATATTTCTCTCACTAAAGAACTAAAATTCTTGGTCTATCACACTTTTTTCTCTTTAAGATTTTAACGAGCTCTCCCACAAATTTAAGTCACTTGTATATTGTTGAAGGCTAGAATATGTGTGACGATGGGGTTAGAAAATTTAGTCTCAACATTGTACGAATATCCAAAACATAATAAGAGGAAAAAAGAAACATCATAATTTTTAAGTGAAAACCCATGAAAAGGGGAAAAACCACAAGGTCACACCTAGTTGAAATGAGTCAACTAGTGTTTAATTGAATTACAAGTGACTGACTCATCCCTGAAATTGAGGACGGTCATATTACAATAATCAATCGTCGGGTTGAAATCTGGTTACAAACAGAGATCAGAAATATGTCAACGTTTTGTGGTCGGGCGGAGATTCGACTTCAATTGACGGTCGGACTGGAATCCAGCATCAATCGGTGATCGGGCAGAAGTTTGGCATCAGTCAGCAGTCGAGCAGAAGTCCTGCGTCATTCAATGGCCACGTGGAGATCCGACGATAGTCAGTGGCCGAGCGGAAGTCCGACGGTGGTCGAGGAGAAGTCTGGTGGCAAGATCGAGGTCCCCCTCATGAGAAATGAGGAGTCTATTTATAATTTTCTGAGAGTGGCATGACCAATAATAAAGAGGAAGATGATTGGTAAATTGGGAGTGGTTTTATTGAATGGTCGATGTTGAATCCCTTGATTGTGAATCATTTATTAGGTATTTGAATATCTTAATGATATCAAAATTCTGTGATCTTGAACTCATTGGATTTGTCTCATCGAGCCGTTCGATTCTACTATAAGCATGTCGCGTTTAAAAATCGTTTGTTAATCCAAATTATGGTTTAAGCCTTTCAAATGCGTTTCGGGTCATTGATTTGGATCCATTTGGACTCTAATTGAGTCGAATCTAATGTCGATGGGTTTGTATTTTCGAGACATTCAGTTCGACTGTAATTTTGCTGAAATTAGAGTTCTAATGGTCCCAATTTTAATTTTTGAAGTTTCCAACTTGATTTTGTTTTGAGATTCATGCCGATCAAGATAATTTTTTTTATTATATATCATATATAACCCTTATATCCAATCTATCTTCTTCAAACTCAATCCAAAATTGTAATATGGTCTTAGTGATATGAAGAACACTAAATGCAATATCCTCTAATGTTTAGTGAGTGTTGATCATGACATAGAAGGAAATTGATTATAGAGCTCTCAAATGAAAGAAAAAGTCCTCACATGAAGAGTGAAATAATGACTTTATCAGCTCCTAATAGTTGCAACACGTGCAGATAGTCTTATAAGGATGATCTAATGAATCATGAAGAATTTTCCACAAACCACTCCTATCATTCAATCCCCTCATTGGTACCATATAAACTCCTCTCCTTTGTTGTCCAAGCATCAAATTTAACTTATTAACAACTTCTCTATGGAGACCCTGAAAGTGCAACCATTGAAGAAGTTTAAGATACTGTTGCATCCTAAAAAATTCACGGTTGTAGTAGATAAATATAAAATTTAATGTCATAACTTTGAATGAAGATCCATCACACAAACAAATAAAAAGGGAGGGTGTAAGAGTCATAGAGACATTAATATTTTTATATGAAAAAACCCTAAAAAGGGAAAAAAATCACGGGATCTAATCCGATTAAAATGATTCCACTAGTGTTTATTATTTATTACAAATGGTGCCTTTTCTCATAGGGAAGGCCTTGGCTCAATGTATTATATAGAGAACATTATATATTTGGGGTTGGAATAATGTAATGATAATTGAGTCGTTCTCAAGAGAATGTTGAATTGTTCATTTGGTTGCCAGGAGGACGGAAGTCAGAGGGATTGTAGTTAGCGAGTGACGGAGGTCGGAGGGGTAGTAGTGGTTTGTCGTTGAATGTCGAAGGGACCGTACTCGACGTGCGACGGCGATAAGAGGGATAGTAGTCGGTGGGCGACGGAGGTCTTAAAGATCATAGTCGGCGGGCAACGGTGGTCGAAGGGGCAGTAGTCGGCATGAGATGATGGTCGGACGGATCGTAGTCAGCGGTGATTATGGTCGATGGCCTGGTGGTGGTCCGACAATCGTCAAGGGGAAGTCCCACGGCCTTCAGCAGTCGAGAGCCAGGTGGAAGTCTTTTTTTAAAGGAAGTCGTCAGGAAGGTCGTGGTCAAGCGACTATTGACGACCAGGTGATGATTAGACACTGGTTGGGAGAAAGTCAAGCAGGGGTATGCGGTCGAGCAGAAGTTTGGCAGTGGTCCGACTACAGTCAAATAGCGGTTTGTCAGTAGTGGTGCCTAGGTGGAGCTTTAGATCTTTGAAACCTCAAATACCTCTCCATCTCCAACCGAAGGTCCAAGCTCTAAGCCCCCCATCATGTAGAGAGTGAGGATCTATTTATAGATTTTCATAAGTGACACACCCCATAAATATAGAGATGATTTTGGACATGTTCGAAGTATTCTATCGGATGACTCGTATTGATTCCCTCGATCCTAGATCATTTTTCAAGTATTTAAGTGCCTTAATGATGCCAGAATTTAGCGATCTTGGCCTCGTTGGATTCTTCTCGCCTAGCTGCTCGATTCGACTATAAGAATGTCATATTCGGATATCATTTTATCATCTAATTAATGCTTTGAACTTTCCGAATACACTTCAGACCCATTTGGACTTGGATTAGACTAATTTTAGTGTTGTTGAATTCATTTCTTCAATACGTTTAGTTTGATGATCCCAAATTTAATTTTGAAACTATACAACTTT